GCGATGATTGATACAGAGAAACATTTCCTGCAGTTGGGATTATCCTGAGAGGTGCTGGATGCTATTTGAATTGGTGCCAGGGTCCAGGATAGATGTGTCTCATGAGTGCAGTGCCCGGAGTTTTCCAGCATGTGGGAGCTGCTCAAATTTGGTGCTGCAGTGGTGGTTTGGGTGCCCTTTGTCCTCTGCTGGAAGGAAAACCAGTGGCACCACATCCCATCTCCTGTAGGTTTCACCTGGCGGTGTTGAGCCCCTGGTATTCTCAGGGCCTAAGTTCTCCAAGAAATATGTGAATCTCTGGGCTCTGATCCATCCTGGCCACATTTGCATGTGCTCACCCTGGACTTGGAGACATCTGACAAGGGGAAAGCTCAGCTTCCAGAAGGCTGTGGAGGGGAGATTTGGAACAAGAGGATGTCTTTGTTCCTCTGGTGCAGCACAGGAGATGTGAAACCTGGGGTAAGTGCAAGGGGCAGGAATATGTGTGCCAGGAGCTCCCTGCAGCTTGTCTTCTCCAGGGATGTGGCCCAGGACTGCAGAGGTCCTGGGTGCAGGAACTCCCAGCTCCCCATGCTCTTCTGCACAGAACCAAGCTTTCTTATTCTTTAATTTAGCTCAGGCTGGGGAGGCACTCTGTAAAACCTGCTGTAACCTGGAGTGGGGAAGGGATGAGATCCTGTTGTCCTTGGCTGAAGGACAGAAGTGGTGACTGGAGCTGTCTGGTGCTGGAGCTCCCTGAGCTTCCTCTCTGAGTGTGCTGAGCTAAAAGCAACATCCCCATTGGAGGGATTTTCAGCTCCTTTCATTCCAGGCAGGGTTGGAGATGACTGGTTTCTCCCTGGTGTGAGTGCTGTTTCCCAGGAGAGCTGAGGATGGACAATCAGGACAGCCCTTCCCACCTCACCTGCTAGATATACCATGGCCTGGGGGACTAGAGGTGCTGTGCTGCCCAGCTCTGACCTCTAGCCCTGCTGTGCTGAGAGCCAGCTCTTTGGAGATTAAAGGTGCTATTTAAACAAAATAATAATAATAACACTGCAGGCAGGTTTGATTTATTATGTAGGAACTGTAGTATTCAAATGAGCTCATGATAAATGGAAGTATTGGCTTATTAAATGTTGCTTTGGACTTTGCCCTTGGGAAGGCAAAGTAGTGGTGTAGTGGTGATTTGAGTAGTGATTTTCATAGTGTAGTGGTGATTTGAGATGGTCCAAGTTCTTCTTTGGGTGGTGGTGGTTTGTTTTTTTACCTTCCAAGGATTTCTCCGGGTTTAAATCCACTTTCAGCTGTGGTCTGTTAAAACAATTTCCAGCAAACTGTCACTGCCTGTCCTTGTCTGTTTATGACATATGAAAACCACATCTATTTTGTTTTCTACTGTTTTAAACCCAGGCTTGGGTGTGACATTTGGAATATCTGCTCTTTGCTTTCTGCTGTTTTCACTGAGGAGTGTGGTGGGATGTCTGGAAGCTGTGAATTACGAAGGCGAGCTGTGCTACAGCCCAGCTTAATTTAAAAGTACAGCACTTAGAAAAACACAGTGCTTTGCTCCCACTTCTTCCCTGGCACATGAAGCCATTGTATTCTGAATGAAAGCATGGATAAATCTGGATAAATCCCATCTCTTTCTCTGGTCCCACGTGTAGGGCACTGTTCCTGTCCCAGCTGGCCAGGCTCTGTTCCCCAAAGCATCAGAGCCATCCTGCAGCCAGCAAACTCAAATATTAAACTTCCAGCAAAAGGCAAAACAGGAGAGGGGTGAGGCCATCCCACTTGTACTCTCTGGAAGTGCATATGGATGGATGCCTTTCCTCCCTCTCTATCCCAAGAGTTTAACTCCTGGCTGCCCGGGATCTTATATTTGCAGCCGTAGAGTGGATGCACCTACAGAGCACAAGTAAGCAGAGGCTTCAAATGAGACAAATCAGGAAGTGAAATGAGAATCTCACCGTGGCATGGCATTAAATCCTGGATTTGCATTAGACTGAGTGGAAAGTCAGGAACCTGCATCCCGGGATTAAAAATAGCACCGAACAGCGCGAACGCCACTAATTGTGGGTTTGCAGGAGAAAGGCAGAAACACGCTGAAAAGTTGGCTCACAATGGCAGTTGCTGCATCCTAATCTCCTGGTTCCTTTCTTGCCTTGCTAATAAGAAGTAAGACTAATTTAATTTTCACAACATCCCAAATCTGGGGCTCTATGATTCAGAGACTTAATAAGATTCTCTTGCCGAGCCAAGAAAAGCTTAGTGGTTTTGAGCTTACTTTCTGCTGGGTTTCACTTTCGGGACATTTGTGCAGTGGTTTGGTTTTTTTTTAAAAAAAAAAAAAAAAAAGAACTTGTATTCCATCAGGATTACTGTTGTCTCTGTTTAAGTTATTATATGTGTAAATTGGTTGTGCTGGAGCTGGCTAAAATCTTGAATGAGAAAAGGCAAATTTTGGCAAAACGAAAACATTTTATGAGTTGTTTTGATTTGCCACACTTTTTTTTTCTTTTTTTTTTTTTGGTCGTCTGGAGAGAAAAGAAACAAACCTATTTTGTTTCAGCCTTCTCCAAATAAAAGGCTTTGAGATTTTCCTCTTTGAAGCAACTTTTCATTTAGAATGATCTTCGGCGCTAACTTTTGTTAAAGGGCTGAAGAGTCAAAGTGGAACATTTGTTTCAGTCGACCCCAAATGAATTTTTTTTTTGAGAGAGAGTTTTTTCAGGATTGCCAGCGAACCGAAAAATCAGTTATTCACCCAGCTTTATATCCCATATACTGATAGAACTTCAGAGCCCTGCCGTGACTGTTTATGTGGTGCAGCTGCCCCTAAACCCTCCGTTTATATGTTGGGAAATTATTCTGCTTCTCAGGGTTGCCTGGGACAGTAAACCTTGAGTAAGCGCCTGGTTTTTCTCCCTTGGTTTAATAAGGAGGCAATTTTTTACGAAGTTATGTTTTCTAACTCTTCTTTTTCATGGCAGGTATTACCTTTGCCGGCTGAGGTACAGTTGCAGGACCTGTTTTATGCTAAAGGCAACACTTGGCTGTGTGAGGAGCAGGCATCGCGTTAGGAGATGGGTTTAGAGCAGCAGAGTTGAGCTTGGCTCTGGGGATAACGTACTTCAAAAAGATGAGTGCAATAATCAGGAAAGGTCCCTAATTTCAGGGTTAACCACAGTCAAAACCCACATTTAAAAAGCGCTCTTCTTATGGTTACTCTGGGTGATAAATTATGTATTACATGGAGCCATTGGATTGTTTTAACTCTTTGTCAGGGTACCTTTCCCTGTATAGAGAGTTATCTGCAGATGGCACAGGGCATTCTAGAACAACAGAGACAAGTTTGCCTGTTTTACTGAAATTGGTGGAAAAAAGTTTAGATCAATTGCTCTAGAACAGACACCATGACCAGAAATTGTTGGTCCTGGATTGCAAGTCTGCTGGAGAGAAAGGAGTTGGGCTGAATGGGTTTGTTCCTGCTGTTTATCTTAAATCTTAATTTAAGCTTAAATCTTGATGCCTCTCACTTGAAGCATTGGAGCATTTAGAGCAGCACAAGAAAACAGGCTCTGTGTGCGAATGTTCCTGAGGTTGCAGTTTTCCCTTTGTGCCACTGTCCCACTGAGCCCTTCCCAGCCAGCTGGGTGTGTTTTGGCACCCAGACATGGTGCCAGAGCCGGTTTTGCCTTGGCAGGGGTGCTGGGCAGGCTGGAGTGACCATGCCTGCTCTGAGCCAAGCTAGGATTTCCTGGAGAGGACTATTCTTTATTTTTAAATCAGATTTTTTTTTACCCTCACCTTCGGAGACCACCGACCCTGCCTTGGGTCAAGGCATGAAACGAAGTTGGAGCCAGGTGGATTTGCTGTCCCCCAGGAGCAGTCCATGGACGATGGGGAAGGTTGGTTTTTCTCCCATCCCTTCTGAGGACACTTCAGTTTGGCAAGTCCAGTGCCCTTGGAGCCCTTCTCCTTCCCCAGCCTCGTTCTCTTCACCCCATGTACCTCTGCTCCCCACGGGGACCTGCCTGGAGGGGAGCGGCTGCGTGGCAGCTGAGCCGGCAGGAAGGTCGTGGCACGGGACGTGGGAGAGGAGGCAGGAGTAAGAGTTTCTGGCAGGAGGGAGCAAGCTGGGACTTGCCATCTTTCCAAGCTCATCACCAGGGCCAACTTGAAGAGTTGTCCCTCCTGCCCAGCACGTTTCTCTCCCTTTTTCCCCCACTCCTTTGCCTGGGATGACAGTCCTGGGTTGTCTTTGCTTTTGTGTGTGGGACTTCAAACTGGTTGAACCAATTCATAGTGGATGATTCACTGGACACGTTTTGGCCCTCACTTTGTTCCTACAGTGTCTGTCAGCAGCTTGCAGTTCTTAGAGCTGTGCTATAGCTGCCATTCTGCATCACTGCCATCCCCAGAGCCCCCAAAACACACCAGGGATGTACAAATCATCATCATGCTCCTTCCTGCAATCAGTTCTGGGTGTCCTGCTGATCCCTGACCCGTTAAGTCAAGGCTTTTCAATGGCCCAGTTTGAGTGGCAGAGGTGATTAGATGATTTTATTTTTTTTTTTGGTTGGATTGGAGTTGGGCTGGACAAAGGAAACCTTCCAGAATTCAGTTTGTAGTAGGTAATAAACCATGAGACTGGTGAGGCCACGCAGTTTTTGGAGTAACCTGTAGCAATAGAGGTACACTAAGCAGTTCTTTGCTTAGAACTTCTGCTCTATTTGAGGCTGTTGCCAAGTGTGTGTGTGGGGGGGGAGTGTCATCTCAACGAGGGTGGCCTCACTGCCAGCATCGCTTCTGCCAGAGCTGTCGCCTGCATCTGCAGAGCAAACTGCAAGCTCAGCTCTTCCCCAGCTCCCCTGCCTTATTCCTTCCCTGAATCCTTTTCCTTTCCAAGGTGGGAGCAGCCTGGCTCCCAGAGCAGCACAATCCAGTTCTCCCTCCCTGGCTGAGGCAGCTGTGAGTCACTGTGCTCACGAGGTTCGTCAGCGGGAGGAACTGGTCCGAGGAACGTGACGGTGATGCCGCTGGAGCGCGGCCAGCTCGGGTCTGTGCCCGTGGTGTTCCCTGTGGCACAGCGTCCGACGGCTGGAGACAGAGCAGCTGCTGTATGTGGAGACCACTCGCACCCACAGGTAACCCCTAAAGGCTTTTCCCATCCGGGAGCTCAGCTGCTCCTGACCCCCAAGCCCCTCCTTGGACAAAAGCTCCACGGCTGGGATCAAGTCTCGCTGCTGGAGCTGGATTATCTCTGGGCTGCGCTGGCCAGCTCCTGTGTGGTTTTTGAGTATCACTGCTGCTTCCAATTGTACATATTTCCTCCTGGGGAATATGACCTGGGCCCAGATCCTGCTCTTGCTTTCATCCAGTGAAAGCCAAAGTCTGACATCCCAGCTCACCAGACCTTCCTCAAACTCTGGTGTAGCCTAAAGCTGTATCCCTGCAACCACTGCTGCTGTAGGTTGAGGTGAGATGGTTGAGGGAGGTAAGATGTTCTGGTGCACCTGTACCAGGTGCTCTGCTGCTTTAAAAACGGAGTTAGATACAGAATAGATGTTCTCCAAAGTGAAAATAGGTGCTCTTCAGCCCTGGAATTAGATTATTAACTTGTCCATCTTCTCTAGCTGGGGGCAGCCAGTCCCATTCAGGGTGGCAGAAGCAGCTTCTTTACACTGTGGCAAGAGGTGTGGGAGCAGAGGGCTGGGCTTTAAAATGCCTGGAAATGGATACCCCCCTGTTCATGTCCCGAGCCAACTGCAGGCCTTGCTTGAAAAGGCTGCTACTAAACCAGTCAGGACTCAAAGCCCCCCTCTTCCGCAGCCACTGGATTTTTCGAGTTCCCCTCTGGATCTTTCTCAGTGCTGTCTCCTACTTTTCCCCCCCAGTCCCCTTAATTTAAGGTTATATTAGGCAGTTCTGCTTCACCAAGTTTTCCCTCCAAAAAAAACAGGCAAGGGAAGAGATGCAGACCACTCAGTGCACAGATATTAAGCCCTGGCAGGCAGGAAAAAGGCAGTGGTAGGTAGAGCAAGGGGGAGAGGGTTTTGTCCCTCCATGCCTCACCCCAGTAGACCCCGCAGCAGGCAGGAGTGGGCTGCCAAATTAGCTATGCTGAAGGGTTGTGAGCATGGCAGTAAATTCCCGTTGGAGCAGCCCAAATAATCCCTTCCCCATGCACAGCGTAGGGCAGTGTGCAAGGAAAACAAGACCAATGTTAACTTACCTGAGTATTGTCTTCTAGCAAACTTCCAGGCTTTTTTTTTTCTTTTCCCTCCCTGTCTCTAATAAATGCAGAGCTTGGCACAAGCACAAAATCCATGTCATTCCCACTCACACCAGGAAAGGAGCAAGTACTGAAGGCTGTGGGCCAAACTGTATTAAGGAGAGAAAGCAAGGGGAGGAACAGGGCGAGGGGGAGGAAGCCTAGTGAATAGGGGGAAAAGGAGAGGAAACAGGAGAGGAAATAGTCCAGGGAGAGTAGCATGAGGTGGGGAAGGCAGGGCCAGAAGAATGGAAGGAAATCCTTGCAGAAAATGGACTATTTGAAAGCTGTTCATTCTGTGCCTTCCCGCTGGCAGATGCTCTAGATCTGTAGATATTTGGGGAGGAATCGGCTGGCTTTTGGGGACATGTTGGTTGGAAAAGGGAGAGGGAAGGAGGACTGGAAAGAAACCTCTCTGCCCTGACCCTGGAGCGCTTGGCGTACCTGGAGCTTGAGTCCCAGAGGATGAGGTGTGGAAGTCAGTAGGTGTGCCCAGCCCACTGCCACACACAGAGCCCCTGTGGCCACAGCACATCAGTTCTTATGGCTCCTTCTCCCTCCCCGGCCACCTTGTTCTTTGGAGGAGAAGGAAGGGTGGGAGGAAAAACCCATGATCTTGCTGGCCTGCTGCCAGTTGCTAAGGCAGTTTCTTCAAAAGGGGAGGGAGGGGAGCTGTGGAAAGGAGGGAGCTGCCTGGAGAGTAGGCAGATGATGAACGCAGGGACCAGGCAGAGAGTAGCCTGCATCCACCAGTGATGGTGGCAAATGGGACCATGGGCTGAGTGGGAGCAGAGGGGAAGGAGCCCAGAGGAGAGGGGCAAGTGGAAAGGGGCAGGGAGGACCAGGGAGCAGCAACTCCTTGCACAGCTCAGCCGTGGAGCCAGCATCCCAAGGGACCTGTCTCAGCTGATGGGTTAGCTGTGGTTCAGAGCAGCTCTACGAAACACTGCCTGTGGCTGGAGGGGGTTTTATTCCCCAATGACTTTTCCCTGCTGTGGTTTCCCTGGTGAGTACGAGGTGCGTGTGGTCCAGGGAAGCTGGCTGTGCTGTGCAGGCCGGGCTGGGAGCAGGACTCACTCCTATTGCCAGTGCTGGGAGGAACACATGTCCCACACGGACGTGCAGGTTAGAGGTAGGGAACAGTATCCCTCCTGGACAAGGGCACCAGGAGTGTGGTGCACAGGGTGCCTTTCACCATCCCCTCCTTGCCTCAGTGCTTCGTTTAAGTGTCTTTCTGCCCACATGGCACAAGCTTGAACAAGGTCTGTGAAAGCAGGTGGGCGCCTGGCCCAGACTCCCTGATCTTCCAGTTAGTTGGCCCAGAGAGGAGCTTAATGTGGCTCTTGTCAGCTGTGGAGTTGCTGCACTGACTTACGATACTGAGCAGCAGCAGAGCTGAATGCAGACCTGGGCCATCGCTGCTCTCAGCGCTGCGGTGCCTCCTCTGCCTGGAAACCCACTCCTGAGGCACAGGGGCAGATGTACCTGAGAGAGGGAGAGACTGTCCTTCAGTCCTGAGGGTACCTCAGACTCCTGTGACCTCGAGAAGCACGATAAATGCTTTACTCTGGTGTGGTGTTGGTGTGAGATACCTCATCTGCCACAGGTCAGTGCCTGTGCCAAACTCCAGCCTGCTTCCTCCTGCCCCCTGCACGGGCAGGCTCAGAGCAAGGGCTGGTTGCAGACAAGTCCCTGGCAGCTCCCTCTGGTTGGGGCAGACACCACAGGGAGATGTAGCTCCCTGCCTGGGTACCCCATCTTAGCCGAGAGCGATGGTTTGCCCTCGCTGAGGTGGAAAGCTGGAGGGTTGGAGTGGGTGGGAAGCTGCTCGCTTAAGGAGAGCTCTGTGCGGAGTCTTGGTTTTGTGGGCTGGAGCCATCTCTTACTCACAAAGTGAGGAAACAAGCTCTTGAAAGGTAGGAGGCAACAGAATCAGAGCAGCTTTGCGAGTGCAACAGCGGCATCTCCACGGGTCCTGCCTCGGGTCAACGCACTGGCACCTGGGCATGTCCGTATGGGAGCTGCCAGTCCCTCGGTGCCGGCGAGGGCCGGTGTAGCCCGGAATGGAGCTGAGCCACCGGGGTAAAAGCGTTCGCGCCGTGGCACCGGGGGGGTGCGTTTCGCCCCTCTGAGCCGGGCGCTTGCTGAGCACACGGGAAGTTCAATGCCCGGGCCGGCTTTGATTCTCGCACTTCCCCTTTCTTTGCGTTTCTCGGGCCCCGTGTGCCCGCAGCCCTCCGTGCCCGGGGCGGCAGCCGGTGCGGAGCCCGCGGCCGCCGCGCCGGTAACACGAGCCCGGGCGCTGCGGCCGCGATGTTACTGATGTGCGGCACGTCGGGGCCGGGAGAACTCGCCGCTTTTCCGTCTGGATTTCGGTTCTCGCTGCAAATCCAAAATGGAGCAGTCGTGCTCCTGTGGGTGTAGGAGGCCGGGCGAGGCGTGCGCCGGGGGGGCGGGAGGGGGGTGACTCATGTGCTGCCGCTCCGCAGCTCCCGGGGCTGCTGCGCGGCCACAAAAGGCTTGAGCCAAAGGCAGGGGCGACATCGCCCTCCTGGCTGGCACTGAAAGCGAACACCAGGCACCCGGAGGAGCCGCGGGGGGAAGAGGGCACTGATAAATGAAGCAGTGGATTAAGGTATCAGATGTTTCCTGCCGGGATTTAATGCCCTCAAGGACAGTGCATTATACGTATTAAAACTGGGCAGGTTTCGCTCTGGGTCAGCCCAGCGGCTCCCTGGGAAGCCGCTCACACCGCACGGTGTGAGCTCAGGGCTGCAGCTCACACAGCACAGCAGAGCTGAGCGTCCCTGGGCACACGGAGTCCAAGAACGGCCACAGGACACGGCCACCACGGGCACCTCTCTGTGCTGGGGAAAAAAGCCTCATGCCAGGAACAGCCCTCGCACAAGGTGATACTTCTGTCAGGTAAAGCGGTGTGAGACTGAGCTGTCCCTCCCTTGTCAGCCCCCCTCCTACAGTACTAATGGGGTCCTTGTCTTCCCCTGACTCTCCTTTTTGGTGGAGGGAAAGAACAAAGTCAGAATTTATTTTAATTGTTTATTGTATAATATAAAACTACAAAAGTAAGACTGCTCATTTCCATGTACATTTGTCCAATTGTTTTTTGATTACAGCCCATACCTACATGTGAATACAGTAATCTGGTTTCAGATGTCTGTAATATTGCATAGAAAAGGCACAGCTCTAAGGTCTGTGGGAGGGGAAGGGGAAATACAGCCTTTTTTCTTTTTTTTTCCTTTTTTTTTTTTTTTTGACAATAACAAGCCCTGTTCAAACAACCATGCACTGAACATGTCACACTATTTACACCTTTTCCAGAATCTTGGCCTTTACAGGCACTAGTATGGAATATGCTCAGAACTAGACAGGAGTTGAGGTTGGGATTTTATCTGCAATTTGTGTTTTTAAAGAGGTTCCAGAACTTGCATTAGGCTTATTTTCAGAAAAAGAAAAAGTGCTTAAAAAGAACTAATTTATTTTAAAATGTTCAGTCTCATTAATTCATAGAATATCAAAAGCAACTTGCACAGAAGCAGGATATTGAAACCTGATGGGGGGGGGAAGGGGAAAGAACAAAACCAAATCAAAAGAAACCCTGTAACAAGAACAAAAAGTTCACAACATGCCAGAGTGAATTAAACCGTTTGTCAGACAGGATCCATTGCGATTTACTCAATTTAATGGTAATAAAAGTGTAAACTTTGGATTCAAAATATCAGTTTTAAATAACCCAGGCTCTTACCACGCAACATTGAGGAAAAAGCCAAATTACCTTTCACAAGGTCCGAATTTCTCCTGACAGTGATTGCTCCAGAGAGTGGCTTTCCTGTCGCGTTGTTCCAGTTGGCTGCAAGGAAGGTGCCAGACCGATGCACTTATAGACAACGCTGCTCAAGGCTGCTCCTTCAAGAGGGACGTTCCCCTTCCTTTGCCTGCAGGGCTGTGGGATCCTGCTGGACTCCAGAGGGACCTGTGGTGCCCGAGGACTGGCTGGTTGGATGCACAGAGCACCGTGAGCGGGTTGGATTTGGGCAGGCAAACCCCTCTGCCTGGCCCTACCTCCTGGCAACGAGGTGGTGTCAGCTCTGGCACAACTTCTGGGGCTGGAGGTACCATCCTGCTGCCTACTCCAGTTGTCCAGCCCCAGGGATTTCTGCTGGGCCTCCCAAGGGTGTTTAAAATAAAAAAAAAAAATACAAAAAAAAAAAATCACCTTTTTCAACCTTTTCTTGGCCAGCATGATGGAGGTGATTGCATTTGCTCTTGTAGCGTGCCAAGGGAGGCCCCCTTCAGGAAGCTGATGGGGGTAGGAGCCTGATTAGGACTAATTTTGAACTTAAAATTGTCCCTCCTCCATACCTTTTTTGCATATTTCAAACAACCAGACCCATATTAGAAAAAGAGTGTAGGGAAAAAATAATCCTGTGATCCATGCATATCCTGACTGGAACTCAGTTCATTCTTTCTGAATCTGGCTCCCATACCCTTTTTCATACAGATTTACATTCCTACAAGAGGATACATTCCTACCATACATTCTGTACATGTTACAATCCAGATGTTGTTAGCTTCACAATAAAATAAATATATTTACAGAAGAAAAAAAAAGAATAAATAATTTATGAAAAAAATCACTTCAAATCCAAAGCTCTTTTATTCTGCTCCCATCTTGTCACTTCATTGCACGTTAATGTCTATCTCCATCCCTGGTGTAGGTCTCAGAGAAATTCCATGCATGGCTGCTGACAGGACCACGGCAAAGGCCAAACTAGAGCCAACCAGTGACTGTGCAGGGAGAAAGTCACAGCCAAGCCCTTCCTGTCCTGGCCTGCACCAGCCTTCCCAACCTTTTGCTGAGTCTCATAAGTCTCAAGTATGCTTCTGTCCTCTGGGATTCCTGTAAGGATTCTGCCACAGGACATGTGCTTCAGCACCAAGGAGCCACAGACATCGTCCAAGTGGTGAAGTGGATTCAGAGCTTTGTGGATACAAAACCTTCAACTAACCCCACTTAACATAGGTCTCCAAAAATGGCATTGATGGGAGCTTTTGCCTTTGTGGTATTTGCGTAATTATGTTACTGTGTAAATATGTAAACTCCCCCCAAAAATGGCAGCTCCAGCATACTGCAAACCAGTTTTTAACCATGGCAAGGCAAGCGCCTACCAAGTTACCATGTGAAACTGGTGGTGTTACAGGTCTGTGCAGATAACACCCCTGTCTAAGGTGTTCCCAGGTACCAGAAGGGCAGAATCAGACAGGGCTGTTGGTTCTCCCACAAGGGCCGAGGACTGTGGCTGAGCAAGGGCCAGGCGTGAGCCAAAACTGTCCCTCCTCCTTCCCCACCCCTCCCTTCCCATGGTCCCCTCAAGCTACACTTGGTCAATGGTTTCCTGTTCGAAGCAATAACTTACTTTCTTTTTAGGCTGCGTAAGGAAATACTCCTGCAAATCCATCAGCATCCCAGTGCTTCACCCAGTTCAGCTTGGGAAAAAAGAAGAAAGCAAACCCACCCCCTCAGCCAGTGCCCCCCCTCTCCTGCCCCAGCCCCACGTCTCACCCTGGGAGCCAGAAGCACGTTTTGCAGCTCCACACAATGCATTTCATTTCCATTAGGAGTTCCTTCATTGCAAAAACGTATTTGCTTTTATCCTGTGTCTGTGTGCATATCTACGTTACATCTATCTATATACTAATAAATATATATGGCCTGTTTTAAAGTGCCAATTTATAATAAAAAGCCCCCTCCTCAAAAGGCAGGCAAGACCCAATTTCTTCCATGACAAGAAGGGAGCAGAACTGACTGAATATTGCCAAATGACGTAAAACATAATTTAAAATTTCTTAAATAAATATAAAAGTTATTCCTAAAGAAGCCATAGGCATGTCAACAATACAGGTTGTAACCGGCACTCAACAACTAAAGTACCATTGGAAAACTAAAATGCCATAGCAACTTCAGCAATAGGCATGATACATTGCAAACATTTTTTTTCTTTTTAAATTAAATGTACACCACAATGAACTTAAAAAAAAAAAAAAAAAAAAAAAAAAAAAAAAAAAAAAAAAAAAAAAAAAAAAAAAAAAAAAAAAACAAACCGAAAGCTATTGGTGCAGTAAGGAGAAGACTTCTCAGGTGTTACGGGGAAGGGGACCATGCATAGAAAGCTGTGTCTGTATATTCATTGTAAAACGGGTCTATAAAGTGTAAAGCAGGTAACACAGTTGATACAAGAACCCAACTCTATACGAGATGCCAAGTGATGTCACATGACTGGCTCCAGTTTCAACAGCAATGGATATTAAAGCAAGTCCATCCAGTGCAGGTACGAGATGAGCTTCACTGCAGTAATACTGAAGTTGCCTTTTTTCAGCACTTAGCACAGTGAGGTGGGAGAGGGGAGGAGAAATGCTCCAAGAAAGGGCGGGCGGGCGCTCTCAGCCCCACTCTCCCGCCCGTGCCCGTGCCCGTCAGTCAGGAGGATTTCCAGGAGAGGTTGGCTCTCGGTGGGTGATGGGCACGTTGCTCCCTGCCAAAACCGTTCCCAGGAGCTTCAGGTGAGGGAGTGCTGATGTGCCGCCGGCTCCGTGTCCGGTGGGATGGATGCCCTGGCACAGGGACGCGGGCGGGCCTGGGGACAGCCCGGTGCCGGGGCGGGAGCTGCGGCCACAGCAGCGCTCAGGGACCTCTTTGGGGGAAGTTCCACAACTGTTTCCTGCCAACTGCTTCACATACGTGTTGGAAAAGGACATGGCTCTAAGTTTCAGGAATCACAGTAGTGCGCAGTGGGTACAGCAGGGAGCAAACACTTGTGAAACTCCGACAGAAGCAGCTCCCAGCCCTTTCTTAAAGCACTTGTTTTTTTTGTTTGCATTCAGGGAAACCGACTGCAGGCTTATTTGATCCAATTTTCTCTTTGCACCATACACATATAAAACATTACAACTCTGTATAAAAGTACAAGTGGTTCTTGTACATCTGAATTATGCAGGAACTATGTGAGCAAATCCTATCAAAATAGCTATTTTTTGTGTGTATAAACAGCATTTGTTTTTAGAAAAAACAATATCATAAACTGCAGAATCTGTACAAAAATATAAAATAAATTTGGGCAGCAGTTTCTAAACAGCCATGTAAATGCAACACTTAAAGAGGAGCAGGTTAATGCCTCCAAAAGGCTGAATTGCTAAAGTCAACCTATACAGGGCTAAAATGGTATTGAGATTATCTAAATAATAAAATTTTTTACCTCTTGCAATAAAACTTATAGAAAAAATAGACAAGTATGCACATGCAATTTACAGCTTTCCCCAACATAATCCTTGTGCTTAGCTTTCACCTTTTTTTTTCCTTTTTTTTTTTTTTTTTTTGTAATAACATAACATTGTCTACAATACATATTCTTTCCTATACCAGGATATTCGGTCTTCCTTGAGGAACCACTTTTAAAAAAAATACATTAGAAGTGGTCATACATGGATGAAGGCACTCCAACTCTGCTCGAAGCAAAAACTAGTGTGATCCTTTTCTTTTCAAAAAAGGCAAGCAAGGATGCATGCACAGTGCTGTGAATTGGGGCTGGGAGGAACTATGGAAATACTACCAAGTGTATATACTGGTACTTAAAATAAAAAAAAAAACAAAAACCAAACAAAAAACCCAAGAAGTTGCTATATTTCTAATATTTTAAGACCCAACAAGCACCTCCATGATGTGATCCAGTTCTGTGAGATCCATTTTGAAAGGCTGATTTGGAGTTACTGGCTGACTGCTGTACGGAGCGAGAGTTTTTAGGAGCTCATCTGCTGAGACAGGAGCCATTTTTGAGGCAGCCCCCGTGGCAGACGTGCAGGGGTCAAAATCATACATGGACGTATCAATGTCAGCGAACAGAATGTCATCCAGGGTCAAGTCTGTGAGGAAACCTGTGGAAGCTGTGATCTCAAAGTTGCCGGGTAGAGAGTCCATGAGTTTGGATTCAGCCGTTCTGCTCTCCGGGAGGCCCTCGGGCTTGTGGATGTTGGACTCGCTGGGATGGGCTTTAGAGCCATCGGCTGCTGTTTCGGCTGCTACTGCCTCTGCGGAGGTAGGTGCTGGACAAAGCTCCTCGATTTCGTCCAAGGCTGAGGAGAAGCTGTCCTTTACTGGTTGGAGAGCGGGAGGTGGTGGTTTTGTCGGACCATCGTGCTGGACAGCCGGGGAAGTGCAAAAAGTGTCGTCCTCGAGCAAAGAGGCTGGGGTGAGGCAGGATTCCAGGGGCATAGTGCTTACGAAGTCAGTGGGGAGCAGGGGCTGGGAGGCGAGGTGGCTGAACGCCGGCTGGGCCTCGCGGAAGTTGTCGCTGAGAGGGTCGGCAGGCTGGGAAGCGGTCACAAACATGGGCCTCAAGCTGCCTTCTTGTTTGAGTTCTTCCTGGATTCGCCTCAACATGTTGTTAATTAAAACTGTCTTTTGCAAGCTTGGCTCGGTTAATGGCCTGTGGTTATAAAGTTTCATAAGGGAAATGTTGAAGATAGTCTGACGCTGTAAGGTGTAAGACACCTTAGAGGGACCGTCAGTGGGAGACACCACTTTGCCTTCCAACCCATCTTCATGCTCGTCAAACTTCCGCTTTCCTCCTTTCCCCAACATATATCTGAAAGGAAAAAGAGGAGACCCATGAAGACAGCAAAGCCCAATGCCACACTGTCCACACAAACAACTCAGTCTTGGCCCACAGCAGCGTGATGAGGAAGCAGAAGCCGCCTTAACGCAGTGCCCTGGTCCATCCTGTTTCGGCGTGGCTATGCTGGTAAATCCCAAGCAGGGATTCAAACAGCATCTCTAATACTCAAGATCTTGCATGCTTGGCAGCAAATTTCCCTCTTACATACATTATGGTCCCCAAATATCTGCACAGAGGTGCACAGGCTACATATACTGTACAGAACATTTCTTTACGTTTCCTGACCGACGCAGTGCTATGCCTGGGAACACAAACTTAAAGCACCAAGGTTCTTACAATGAATTTCCTTTATTATTCAAAAGCTTGCTCACGGGGGAAGGGAAGCAAGGCTCAAGCAATTGTATTTTAAGAGAAACCTTCCCAGAGAAGTTGGGAGATCCAGCCCTTCGGTACACCAGGATATACGCATATGGGTTTATTTAACTGATCGCCTAAGGACTGAACAACCAGAGCAGGAAATGCAGTTATTGCACTCAGAATTAGATAAATTACAGATAAAGAAGAAGATCTGTCAAGTCTTTTAGTCTAATCCCCAAGATCACTCTCTGCACTACACTCTGCTGTTGGTCAGATGGCAGATTTTTGAAGGAAACAAAGGGGATTTTACCAAACTTGCCCCGCCTTGTAAATAATTTCTGAGCTAAGATTAAGTAGGGCAGTTCAATCCCCAGTGCTATCTCTTCCAGGATGTTTCACAGCACCTGGAAATGCTCCTCTACACAGCACAGCCCCAACCTCATTTTGTCACCATTATTTTTGTGACATGAAGATCCCCCCAAATGCAGAGGATTGAAGGAATAGCATGACCTGACGTTCTCCTCTCTCATTTTCCCAGGTACAGTGGTGAGGTGCTGGAGCCCTAAACCACTCACTCTTTTAATAGGATCACAGGCAGCTCCCTGTTCATTTTAACGTGTTTAACATTTTAGCTCTCTGTTTAACAAAACTCTAATAAAATGGCATGAAGATTTCTGCCTTGTTTAAAAAAAGAAAAAAGTAGAAGAGGCTTTTCAGCCACAGCTACCCAGAAAGAAGTTGCAACAGCAATACAGACTTTTACCCCAAACCTGACTCCTCTCATATAATGTATCTACCGTCTAGAAGACAAAATCCACCTTCCTTATTTGAGTACAATTCCCAGTTCTCCCAGTGGGATTGGTGGCTGTGAAATGACTGCACCAGGCAGGTCTACCATCAGTTTGGTGGTCATACACCAGTTCTGCAGACAGACAATGTAGGTAAGGACTTACAAACATACCCAAGAATGAATGACAAACATTTAAGAGCAAAGAGCCCTTTGGAAAGCAGGAGAGGGGACAAAAGAAGCCAGAAGAAAAGGGCTTCAGAAAGCATTTGCTGGGTGGTAAATCCAAAATCAGATTGGATGAAGTGAGCCTCTTCTGGTTAAAAATAAGTCCCAAATCCAGATACTTTTCTAGCATATTATGCAATTAAAAAAAGAAAGGCAGGGGGAGGGAGCAAGCTGAGCAGAGCTGAGGAACAGGTAGGCTGCCATCCAAGCTCCTTGGCCAGCTACCAGCAATTCCCGCGCCTGGAATCTTGGGTGAACAAAACCTCTGAAATTTAGCACTACTGCCGAAGTCTGGTTTTTCTCTGCTCCCTAGTGTCACTTCCACAGACTACTCCAGAGCTGTGCACACAGGTTTGGAGTGTGGGGGGGGGCTTTGCTGTTCAAATGTTCATGGTGAACACATTTCCTTCCACTTTGGACAGATAGAGCAAGAAAGGGAGGATCAGGCTAGCAAGAATTGAAACCCTTGCCCAATTCCAGCACGTTTTTAAAGCAGCAAGGCGTTAGGAGGAGAGGTAGCAGTTTTCCATCCCTTCCTGCTATCTCCTCCCCCTGAAAAAAGACAGACTCTGTCCTAAAGACATACCAATGCTCGTTCCGCAATACTCTATTTAAAGAAGACGTTTTTAAATGGCTTGGGGACTAGAAGAGTTTTGAAGTTTGTCAGCCTCTGCCAGGAATGTATACAAACATCCACTGTACAAAGCAAACCTTTTCCCCCACGATAAAGAAAACAGCCCAGGCTCTGTTCCCTGTGCTCAGTTATTAATTATTGACAGGCGACATCGGAAGCATTTCGAACGAACCCAATCGAGCCCATTTCCACCCAAGCGTGAGGTGCTGGTAGTTAACACGTTTTTTTAAGCTGATCAGTTAAGAGCTGTGGCATCATCATTAAGTAAACGCCACGATAACCTCGCTACGTCATTTTCCAGGAAGCTCAGAAATGATTCAAGGTTTCCTGTATGTGTGACTGTCAAGCTTTCACACCTCACTCGATCTTCACGTAGCTCGATTCAGAGCTTGCCCTTTTAAAAGATAAAATAGATCAGGCAACTCCCAGTTTCACCTACCAGCTTTTCAGCACAACTTTCAATTTCCTTTTCCCCCCACTAATACTCTCTGAGAAGAGGGTTTAACCACTAAAGCACCAAAGCATGGGGGGTTTATTCCACCAAGGAGGGGGCTCAAATGAGCACCGCTAGACTGTCAGCTTTATAAAGTTTTATTTTATTCCCTTCTCCTCTGGCATGCAAATGGGAATTGTAAAAACCTTTTCCTCTGGTTTCCATAAGTTGCTTTATTCATGCTAAGTGAAGTAAGGAGGCAGTATCTTTTTAGACCAACTGGTAGAGTTGGTAAAAGCAGACATGTTTGTGGGCTTGCAGGTCTTTCTCTGGTTCTCCATAAAGGAATTACATAGTTTCTGACCATAGGAGCTTAAGACAATGTTGCCTGCTTGTTCTTTACAGTTCTAACCATCTCTTCCCTTCTTCAACCAACAGCATCACACCTACATTAAAGAGATCATTTTTGTATGTCTTTAAGATTCTCAACGCTATTTTTTTTAAAAAAAGGAAGCTGTACAATACCAGCATTTGATCTGAGTCAGTTCTGTTCATCTCAAAAACTTTGCTCCTAGGCTTCCCAGCCAAAGCTCTTGCTGGGAAAATGAAAATGCCAGACTTGCAGATCAGCTTGACCAAAGATCAGTAGAAAATGAGCTAAACCTGCATCATGCCAAGTGTCAAAAGACAGAGTTGTCCTACCACGTCATACAGCCCTAACGGGGGCAGCCAGACAACAGCAGTCCACCCAAATGCAAGACTGGACAGGCAGAGATTAAAGGGCACGTTCGTGGAGGGTCTTTCATGCATCTATTTTGGCTGAGCACCAACCTCAGCCAGATGTATTTCTGCTGCATTTTCATCCATCCGCTAAACATCACTTTGAGGTCAAGTGTGAAGAGTTGAGACGGGACGTCGCTTTGTTGTTGTTGTTGTTTTAATAAAGGGTGTTGCAGGGTTTTGGTGTGCAACTTAAGTTTTCAATGTTACTTAGGTATGTGGAACCAGAAAGCTGAAGAAAGACAACGAATGGAAAAGCTGCGCTTATCTGGGGATTGGGGTGGGGGGAGTTACTTGGAGATCTTCCCCAATATTAATCTACCACTTGGCTCCAGCTCTGGAAGACTCAGAACCAAAAGCTAAACCATTGTTGCTGAGAAAGATTCAACTTGCTTTTTTGCCCATTTAGGGTGATTGCACGCGCCTCAGCGCCAGAGAAACCCTAGCATTGTTTGGGAGTTGTCTTTTCTTAATTGAAAAACAAAAGTAATATTTTCTTTTTTTTGCCATTTGCATATCATTTAGCTTCCTTTTATTGGCTCTGCATGCTTTTCAGACAGAGCTGGGAAAAAATGTAGTTGGGGCTCAGCAGAAGAGATAATCAGCCTGGAGCGGATGGTTCTCTGGAGTCGACCATCATCGATTACACACAGGAAAGCTTGTGCAATGCCTGCGTCTCTGAGCCCACTTAGTGACGAATCCTTGGCTCTCTGGAGCACAGAGGTACGTGCACGCTGTGAGAGTATTATATTTATTGATTGTGCTTTGGACGTTACACCTTGTCACTGCTGGACTATTCCTGAAGTCCTTAACAATCGGGAGTTTGGCGCAAAAAAAAGCACCAGATACGTAAAAAATTGAGAGGAAAAGTGATTTGGCTCACCAATAATAAAAATAATCTTTAATGTTAATTCTCAAACACTTTTAACAATTAAGTTTTAAATGTCTCTCAAGACTGAGGGCTCTTCTTGGAAATCAATTCTACAATCCACTAGGCTCTCCCTCCTCATCAAGGCAGACAGGAAGGACAAAAAGAAAGAGGAACTGAACCCCAAGAACAACGGAAAAGGGTTTTTAAGAAGTCATATTTCCACTCATAGATTTACGCCACCCTCTTGGTCAGTGTAGAGGATGAACAGCTGAATAGAGTGAGGTTCACTTTTAGAACCAACACCATGTTGGTTCTAAAAGCTAAAAGCACCCAATCCCAGAGTCCACGAGCAATCATTCCTCCCCATGCAGCCAAATGCTGAAAGACAGGTGGGGACCACAGGGGCCTGTGCGAGAAGTGGAGTTTGACGCAGGACCAGTTACTTTCTGAAATCTTGGGTAACTAAAACCACGGGGGGAAAAAAAGGAGAGAAAAAGAAAAAGGCAACCTGGGGAAATTAAAATAAAACACTACTTCAGACATGTGCATGAAAACCCCAACAAAAGCCCTCAACAAAAAAGCTCCCTATAAAAGCCCCCCAAAATGCTATGAGAGTACTGAGTTTGCACATTTCATTCCCAAAACAAAGTTTCACACACCTCAAGTGTAAGTGAACCTCACCAGGGTTTCTCAGAGAACCTATCCAGTGAATTATGCAAGTGCTTTCTGTGTCACTTCTGGCATATGAAATACAACTTTCCTCCATACCTCACTCTTCATCCTTGAGGGTTCCATTGGCTGTATCCTGGCCCAGCAGTAGTCAATGAGTGTTTTGTTACTGACTTCAGCAAAATCAGGATTTGGCACAGATAGCTGCAGG